TCCTCAGAGGAATCGACCGGGTAAACAAGGATAAACTATTCAACACTGGTGGGACGCGAACAAGGGGACACAGGTGGAAACTGAGTACTCACATGAGCCACAGAGACGTTAGAAGGAACTTTTTTAGTGTCAGAGTAGTTAACGGATGGAATGCATTAGGCAGTGATGTGGTGGAGGCTGACTCCATACACAGTTTTAAATGTAGATATGATAGAGCCCAGTAGGCTCAGGAATCTGTAAACCAGTTGATTGACAGTTGAGAGGCGGGACCAAAGAGCCAAAGCTCAACCCCCGCAAGCACAAATAGAAGAATACAAATAGGTGAGTACACACACACACACACACTAGTATAAGGATGGATTATAACATTGTCCACCTAATATGGCTCGACTCTACCACTGCTAAGGCAAGCACTGGATGGGATATGAGGACAAGGAGCTGGGATATGAGGACAAGGAGCTGGGATATAAGGACAAGGAGATGGGATATGAGGACAAGGAGATGGGATATGAGGACAAGGAGCTGGGATATGAGGACAAGGAGCTGGGATATGAGGACAAGGAGCTGGGATATGAGGACAAGGAGCTGGGATATGAGGACAAGGAGCTGGGATATGAGGACAAGGAGATGGGATATGAGGACAAGGAGCTGGGATATGAGGACAAGGAGCTGGTATATGAGGACAAGGAGATGGGATATGAGGACAAGGAGATGGGATATGAGGACAAGGAACTGGGATATGAGGACAAGGAGATGGGATATGAGGACAAGGAGCTGGGATATGAGGACAAGGAGCTATCAGGTGAAAGAAACTACAAATTTATTTCTGCTTCGACCGGGAATCGAACCTGGGCCCTTAGAAATACGACTCCCGACCCGTCGCGTATATTTGTCCGGGAATGATTCTCAAACGTCCACAGCCTAGACGCATTACAATGACGTAAACACAGTGTAGACGCACTTACGATGACGCACACTGTAAACGGGCTTACACAGACGTAAACACACCATAGAAACACGCAGACGCAAACACAGCGTGGACGCACAGAGTCGCACTTACTCAGGCGCACTCAACAGCTCAGACGGAACAAAAACCCACAATAAACCCAAATTCATCTCAAACTCCAAAGAGCAATACAAGGGAACACTGCACAGTCTTCATACCAGACACTGTAAACATTTCTCCTTATGTGAGGTCTGTCACTGTCTGAAAACACTGTCTTCCTGCCCCTCGACAACATCACCGAGCATCTCTCACCTGTCTGTGAGACAGTCACCGCCCGTCACCTGTCTGTGAGACGGTCACCGGGCCCCGTCACCTGTAGCGGCCCGTCTCATCGTGGAGGCCAAAACATCGCGTTGTAAAATTAGTTGGGCCAATTTTAATCTAAATTTTTGGAAGTGTGAAATGACACGTTAATGTTGGTAATGGCGTCAGACACGAGCTGCTTGTCTCCGGGGAGAAAAATAGTATAAACTTGAGTGCGAGTGTGCTTACTAGGTGAGTGGGTACAGCTAGTGCATCTGTACCCCACCAGGTGAGTGGGTACAGCTAATGCGTCTGTACCCCACTAGGTGAATGAGTACAGACAGGTTCAGCGAGTGCTAGGTTAATCACTTCCTCCTCATGTTTTTGTTTGAATGTTGGAGGAAGATACGGACCACAGACGAGGAAATGAGGGCATGTTTGTGTGTGTGTGTGAGAGAGAGAGAGAGAGAGAGAGAGAGAGAGAGAGAGAGAGAGAGAGAGAGAGAGAGAGAGAGAGAGAGAGAGAGAGAGAGAGAGAGAGAGAGCAATGAGTGAGAGTGTGCGCCAGGGATGTAGGTCAGAGGTCCAAAGGAAGTATACCATATAACTAAATAATATCACAGACAGGAGACATCAGTGACGGATGCTCCCACCTGCATGTACGGGGAGGGGTGGATGGTGGGGGAGGAAGAGGGGGGGAAGCTGGTGGGGGAGAAGGGGGAGCTGGTGGGGGGAAGAGGAGGGGGTGGAGGTAGGAAGGGAAAAGAGGCAGAGGAGAAGAAGGGAAGGCGCCATGAATATAAGCTGTGAAGGGGAGAATTTGAATGGAGAGAGGAAGCCAGGGGGAAGGGGGGGGGAGGAGGGAGGGTAAATGGATGTTGTTGAGGGCGTGAGTGTGTGGGGGAGTGTGGGAGTGTGTGGGGGCGTGTGGGAGTGTGTGGGGGAGTGTGGGAGAGGGAGGGAGAGTGTGCGGCGGGGGAGAGTGTAGGAAACTATTGGGTTGCATTAACCAAGGAACAAATGTATTGAGGTTCGAAAAGGCGGAAGAAATTGAGTGATTATGGCGGTGATAATGAGAACAAAAGTAGTTGAGGATTGAGGAGAAGTAGTTGAAGAACTAACTGGCGGGGAAGAGGAGAGGAGAGAGAGAGAGAGAGAGAGAGAGAGAGAATGAGTGTGTGTGTGTGTGTGTGTGTGTGTGTGTGTGTGTGTGTGTGTGTGTGTGTGTGTGTGTGTGTGTGTGTGTGTGTGTGTGTGTGTGTGTGTGTGTGTGTGTGTGTGTGTGTGTGTGTGTGTGTGTGTGTGTGTGTGTGTGTGTGTGGGAGTAGCGGCTCTTGATTCAGCGACTAAAATTTAAGTTAAGATGAGTGCCATGACCAAGTTACCTTTCATATATAACTACAAGTAAATCTAATGGAATATTACTTAAAAATATAAAACATGAACGGAACTAACCCCGAGATGAACCAACTGACCGCAGTTGAAATGAAATTAAAGTGAATAAATCCGAGTTGTTTCAACAATCCTAATCTGAGGCGAACTAGAATGACAAAAAATGAAACCAAGTACAGGAGGGATGCAGAAGCAAGACTTCTAGCAGTAACCATCTTTGATAAACTTGGCAAATTAGGAATTAATTCAGTTATGTAGAGCTGATAATGTCATTAATTTATTCATTAGTGATGAGTGTGCCCTCGGCGAGGCTAGTGGTGCTAGTAGATCACTGAGTCTAGTAGTGAACACAAACAGGTACTCACCTAGTTGTACTCACCTAGTTGTGCTCACCTAGTTGTGCTTGCGGGGGTTGAGCTCTGGCTCTTTGGTCCCGCCTCTCAACCGTCAATCAACAGGGTGTGCAACGTGAGTGCAAAAGTTCTTATATGAGGATATCGATTAACCTATTAGGGGAGCCGGTCGGCCGAGCAGACAGCACGCTGGACTTGTGATCCTGTGGTCCTGGGTTCGATCCCAGGCGCCGGCGAGAAACAATGGGCAGAGTTTCTTTCACCCTATGCCCCTGTTACCTAGCAGTAAAATAGGTACCTGGGTGTTAGTCAGCTATCACGGGCTGCTTCCTGGGAGTGGAGGCCTGGTCGAGGACCGGGCCGCGGGGACACTAAAACCCCGAAATCATCTCAAGATAACCTCAAGATAACCTCCCCCGCACTAAAGAAGGGGTTCCTGCCACCAGTCGCTCAACTGAGACCATTACTAACCAAATAGGTGCACATGAATGAGAAGAACAACTCTGCAAAAAGTTAATGTGAGAAGCGACGTCACGGTATTTCCTGACCAGTCACTGCCAAGATGTGTTTAGACACAGCTAGGCTAGTCTACGACACTGAACTATGCTCTTACACTGAGCTATGCGTCTAGTGCTACGGTCTTACACTGAGTTATGCGTCTAGTGCTACGGTCTTACACTGAGCTATGCGTCTAGTGCTACGGTCTTACACTGAGTTATGCGTCTATGCTACGGTCTTACACTGAGCTATGCGTCTCGTGCTACAGTCTTACACTGAGCTATGCGTCTAGTGCTACGGTCTTACACTGAGCTATGCGTCTAGTGCTACGGTCTTACACTGAGCTATGCGTCTAGTGCTACGGTCTTACACTGAGCTATGCGTCTAGTGCTACGGTCTTACACTGAGCTATGCGTCTAGTGCTACGGTCTTACACTGAGCTATGCGTCTAGCGCTAAACTGAACTACTCTATTTTTGTTGTATTTATATATATACAAGAGTTCTTACATTCTTGTACAGCCACCAGCACGTGTAGCGTTTCCGGCAAGTCCTAATAATATCCTAATATTCCCCGGAATACGACCCGCCAAATCGTTTAACAACCAACGCCCAGATTCACGAAAGCACTTACGCAAGCACTTACGAACGTGTACATCTTTCCTCGATCTTTGACGGCTTTGGTTACATTTATTAAACAGTTTACAAGCATGAAAACTTCCCATTCAACTGTTGTTATTGTTATAAACAGCTTCCTGGTGCTTCCGAGCTCATTAACTGTTTAATAATTGTAAACAAAGCCGTCAAAGATTGAGAAAAGATGTACAGGTTCGTAAGTGTTTGCGTAAGTGCTTTCGTGAATCTGGCCCCAGGTGGCCATTCACTGCTGGGTGAACAGAGCCTACAGTTAAAGATTGGCGCCCAGTTAATCCTCCCCCGGCCAGGATACGAACCCAGGACCAAAGTGCTCGGAAAGCGCCAGGCGAGTGTTTTACCACTACGCCACGGGGGCTGTAGCTTAGTGGTATAAAACACTCCTAGATAGGCCGCCACAGTCGGTAGCCTATCTGTCGTTGATCAGGACTAATAATAAATTACAAAATTTATGTAATGTTCTCATGGTTATAGATCACGTTATTGTGAGTTCCTCGTGTAATAACACACGACTTCATGATATAATTGAGCTCTCTTCATTTATTATCGCAACTACAAAAATGTTATTTAAAATATATCATATCACAAACTATAATATAATTTTCTCCATTTCCTTGTATACAGAAACTATATTTCTTCATGTATGAATATGTAAGTATGAATGTCTATTGTTTGGTACCAACAACAGTTTCATATATACTTGCTTAGATTTAAAATAAATTATAAATCTGAATTCAATAAAATCAATCTAAATAAGTTCCCTTAGGCCTATATGTTGGGCCAGGACACTAAGGTCGGTTGCTTTGTGTTAACAGCCGACAGTATTATGAAGGTGGATGAATGGTCAACAACTCACCATAGCGAGGCAGGTCATGTCTTGAGAGAGAGTTGACGTGTTGACACCCAGTTGACGTCTCTAGAGGCAGTTGACGTCTTTAGAAGCAGTTGACGTCTTTAGAGGCAGTTGATGTGTTGAGAGACAGTTGACTGTTGAGAGGCAGTTGACTGTTGAGAGGCAGTTGACGTCTTTAGAGGCAATTGACGTCTTTAGAAGCAGTTGACGTCTTTAGAGGTAGTTGACGTGTTGAGAGACAGTTAACGTGTTGAGAGGCAGTTGACGTGTTGAGAGGCAGTTGACGTCTTTTAAGAGACAGGTGACGTCGTGAACGGTAGGACAATAACGCTAAGAGAGGCAGGAGGACCCAGCATACTGCCTCCTACCACAGTTAAAACCCTCTGAGTCTCCTCGACTGTGATCCTGGGACTGGCTATCACAGTTTATAAGTCACACCATCACCACACACTCTACAATTATTAACTGGCGCACGTTCTCACCAGTTCAATTCCCCAGACGCATAGTTACGCCTAGTCTGCGTCTCGATTGCGTAGAACACATATAAGCCTTGCGATACAATATCGGCACAATTGTATCTGAAAAACCGGTTAAATGATAAATATTCTCAAAGTATATTATATACTTCAAATGGTATAGTTGTAGGAATGAGAGAGCTTGAGCTCAGACACGTGGAGAGGATGGCTGGCTCCCTCACACACACGCACAGACGTCAGGATGATGTCAGCTCACGCGGACCGACACGTCCTCTCTGCTCCGTGGCTTACGCACTACTGAGCCCCCGCGCGCCCTTCCCGGGGGTAAAAGACTGTGTACCCTGAAACCGCGACAATTTCTCGATGCCTCTTAATATAAATCCTGGAAATTCTGTAATTTTCTGTTCCAAGTAATTCACATTTATGTGTATTCCTGTCAGGAGAGAAAATGATACAAGCGTGAAAGTGAACTGAAAATTTGTGAAGGAAGGTTTTAGCATGTTGAGAGGTGTTCTCTCTCTCTCTCTCTCTCTCTCTCTCTCTCTCTCTCTCTCTCTCTCTCTCTCTCTCTCTCTCTCTCTCTCTCTCTCTCTCTCTCTCTCTCTCTCTCTCATGCACATTAGCACAGGGATTGTGGTCTAATTTGTTATGCTTGGTAACTTGGTGGTTCACTATAGGGCCGCTGTGGCCCACGGACCACCAGAGCTGGAGGGGGTCGTGCCGGTGTGGCCCACAGACTTGGAGGGGGTCGTGCCGGTGTGGCCCACAGACCTGGAGGGGGTCGTGCTGGTGTGGCCCACAGACTTGGAGGGGGTCGTGCCGGTGTGGCCCACAGACCTGGAGGGGGTCGTGCTGGTGTGGCCCACAGACCTGGAGGGGGTCGTGCTGGTGTGGCCCACAGACTTGGAGGGGGTCGTGCTGGTGTGGCCCACAGACCTGGAGGGGGTCGTGCCGGTGTGGCCCACAGACCTGGAGGGGGTCGTGCTGGCGTGGCCCACAGACTTGGAGGGGGTCGTGCTGGTGTGGCCCACAGACTTGGAGGGGGTCGTGCTGGTGTGGCCCACAGACTTGGAGGGGGTCGTGCTGGTGTGGCCCACAGACCTGGAGGGGGTCGTGCTGGTGTGGCCCACAGACTTGGAGGGGGTCGTGCCGGTGTGACCCACAGACTTGGAGGAGGTCGTGCCGGTGTGGCCCACAGACCTGGAGGAGGTCGTGCTGGTGTGGCCCACAGTCTTGGAGGGGGTCGTGCCGGTGTGACCCACAGACTTGGAGGAGGTCGTGCCGGTGTGACCCACAGACTTGGAGGAGGTCGTGCCGGTGTGGCCCACAGACCTGGAGGAGGTCGTGCTGGTGTGGCCCACAGTCTTGGAGGGGGTCGTGCTGGTGTGGCCCACAGACCTGGAGGGGGTCGTGCTGGTGTGGCCCACAGACCTGGAGGGGGTCGTGCCGGTGTGGCCCACAGTCCGCCAGAGTAACACAGATTACCGGGTGAGTAAAATAGATTACAACTGCACTTGGACTCAAGGTTCAGTAATGCTCAATATGTCGGTGGGATTATAGTCTTCGGGAGGGACCCGTGACAGCTAAAATATGACACTATGGTTTCAGAGCCTTTTTTGGCTTGCCTGGAGGAAAAATATTCTATTCCGCCCACAATGTATAGAAATTATCGGCACATCTTTCATTTTTGTTCCACCACGCCCGTGGTCTTGTGAGACGACGAGTGTGTCTTGCGAGGCGTCGAGTGCGTCTTGCGAGGGTCGAGTGCGTCTTACGAGGCGACGAGTGTTTCTTGCGAGGCGTCAAGTGCGTCTTGCGAGGGTCGAGTGCGTCTTACGAGGCGACGAGTGTTTCTTGCGAGGCGACGAGTGTGTCTTACGAGGCGTCAAGTGCGTCTTGCGAGGCGTCGAGTGCGTCTTGCGAGGCGTCGAGTGTGTCTTGCGAGGCGTCGAGTGTATCTTGCGAGGCGTCGAGTGTGTCTTGCGAGGCGTCGAGTGCGTCTTGCGAAGCGTCGAGTGCGTCCTGCGATGCGTCGAGTGCGTCTAACGAGGCGACGAGTGCGTCTTGCGAGACGTCGAATGCGTCCTACGAGGCGTCAGAGAAAGTCAACATTCGCTACGGTTCGTAAGTGACCAACAAACCCGTTCGCAAAAGATTCAGTATCGGCGGGTCGGGGTATAAATTGATTTGAAATTGTTAGTTGTAATAAAACCCTTTGTTATTTGACACCAGTTTGAGCATTTACATACTTGTGAGGGGGGCGGCACCCGTGCTTGTGAGGGGGGCGGCACCTGTGCTTGTGAGGGGGGCGGCACCTGTGCTTGTGAGGGGGGCGGCACCCGTGCTTGTGAGGGGGGCGGCACCTGTGCTTGTGAGGGGGGCGGCACCTGTGCTTGTGAGGGGGGCGGCACCTGTGCTTGTGAGGGGGGCGGCACCTGTGCTTGTGAGGGGGGGGCGGCACCTGTGCTTGTGAGGGGGGCGGCACATGTGCTTGTGAGGGGGGGCGGCACCTGTGCTTGTGAGGGGGGCGGCACCCGTGCTTGTGAGGGGGGCGGCACCCGTGCTTGTGAGGGGGGCGGCACCTGTGCTTGTGAGGGGGTCGGCACCCGTGCTTGTGAGGGGGGCGGCACCCGTGCTTGTGAGGGGGGCGGCACCCGTGCTTGTGAGGGGGGCGGCACCCGTGCTTGTGTGGGGGGCGGCACCTGTGCTTGTGAGGGGGGCGGCACCTGTGCTTGTGAGGGGGGGCGGCACCTGTGCTTGTGAGGGGGGCGGCACCCGTGCTTGTGAGGGGGCGGCACCCGTGCTTGTGAGGGGGGCGGCACCTGTGCTTGTGAGGGGGTCGGCACCCGTGCTTGTGAGGGGGGGCGGCACCCGTGCTTGTGAGGGGGCGGCACCCGTGCTTGTGAGGGGGGCGGCACCCGTGCTTGTGAGGGGGGCGGCACCTGTGCTTGTGAGGGGGGCGGCACCTGTGCTTGTGAGGGGGGCGGTACCTGTGCTTGTGAGGGGGGGCGGCACCTGTGCTTGTGAGGGGGGCGGCACCTGTGCTTGTGAGGGGGGGCGGCACCTGTGCTTGTGAGGGGGGCGGCACCTGTGCTTGTGAGGGGGGCGGCACCCGTGCTTGTGAGGGGGGCGGCACCTGTGCTTGTGAGGGGGGCGGCACCTGTGCTTGTGAGGGGGGGCGGCACCTGTGCTTGTGAGGGGGGCGGCACCTGTGCTTGTGAGGGAGGGTACCTGTGCTTCTTGGGAGTAACAGCTGTTCTCGTTAGTAATACATTTTTTGGGTAATAACAACAAACCAGCAGAATAAGTTAGAAACCACAGTGTAAGTTAGAAACCACAGTGTAAGTTAGATACCACAGTGTAAGTTAGAAACCACAGTGTAAGTTAGATACCACAGTGTAAGTTAGAAACCAGAGTGTAAGTTAGAAACCACAGTGTAAGTTAGAAACCACAGTGTAAGTTAGAAACCACAGTGTAAGTTAGATACCACAGTGTAAGTTAGAAACCACAGTGTAAGTTAGATACCACAGTGTAAGTTAGATACCACAGTGTAAGTTAGATACCACAGTGTAAGTTAGAAACCACAGTGTAAGTTAGATACCACAGTGTAAGTTAGATACCACAGTGTAAGTTAGAAACCACAGTGTAAGTTAGATACCACAGTGTAAGTTAGATACCACAGTGTAAGTTAGATACCACAGTGTAAGTTAGATACCACAGTGTAAGTTAGATACCACAGAGTAAGTTAGATACCACAGTGTAAGTTAGATACCACAGTGTAAGTTATAAGGTACAGACAAAGTTAGAATTCAAAGACTAAGTCAATTTAGTACTTGTGGGTTAGGTTCATCATGCCGGTCGGCCGAGCTGACAGCACACTGGTCTTGTGATCCTGTGGTCCCGGGTTCGATCCCAGGCGCCGGCAAGAAACAATGGGCAGAGTTTCTTTCACCCTATGCCCCTGTTACCTAGCAGTAAAATAGGTACCTGGGTGTTAGTCAGTTGTCACGGGCTGCTTCCTGGGGGGTGGAGGCCTGGTCGAGGACCGGGCCGCGGGGACACTAAAGCCCCGAAATCATCTCAAGATAACCTCAAGAAGGTGTCCCGTTATTGTGACGTGTTCGCTGTACACGTTGATGGAGTGGAACAGTATCACTCACTTATCCATTTAAGGCTCATAACATTTATTTAATTCAATCAAGCTGTGAGAGCTGGTGGAGAGCTGACATTATTCCATAATGTCTCATCTTGGAGTAATCTTTTTAACATTTGGTCCTCTAACATTTCGATGGTGTTCCACACCCTGATGGCTTGGTGCTGCAGTCTGATGTTTAGTGGCTGTATGTTCAGGAGTTCATGGAGCTCCTGGATTGTCTGATCATATGGTGGACGGTGCTTTGCTGCTCTCCTTAGCGCCTTATTTTGCACTGCTTGTAATTTTTGCATGTTAGTTTTTATTTAAGGTGTATAGTGGTACTGGGGGATACTCTTGATGCGGCCGGACTAGAGCCTTATAGAGGTGTATCTGTATGTTTGTACTGACTTCTGAGTGAAGCCCCGTCAGTTGAGGCTGAAGGGGTAAGATGAGCAACACCAGGAGGAGGAGCAGGAGGAGGGGGCGAGAGGAAGATCCCTGAGAGGATCAGCTTCCTGACGATGACAGAAGCACCGGAAGACAAGGCTGCGGTCACCGGTGTGGTGCCCCTGTGTCAGGGGTGGGGCAGGGGAGGGGGTGTTGTTCTGGGGGAGGTGGGTAGAGAGGCGGGGGAAGCTGTGTGTGTGTGTGTGGGTGTGGGGGGCCGGAGGGGAGTTGTAGGAAGTAAATGCGCTCGGGAGTTTTGAGAGGGACATGGGGAGTATCAGGACATGGGGAGTATCAGGACATGACACTTTCCATGTACTAATATTCCTCAGGACATGGGGAGCGTCAGGACATGGGGAGCGTCAGGACATGGGTAACTATGACGTTCGTCAGTGAACCTCATCAGGTTTCCTACATGTCACGTCGTCTGGTTTAGACAGTATCAAAACCTTTGCTCTACGGAGCGAGGGTGGAGGGGTCGCTATGATCTTGGTGGGGAGGGAGCCGGTCGGCCGAGCGGACAGCACGCTGGACTTGTGATCCTGTGGTCCTGGGTTCGATCCCAGGCGCCGGCGAGAAACAACGGGCAAAGTTTCTTTCACCCTATGCCCCCTGTTACCTAGCAGTAAAACAGGTACCTGGGTGTTAGTCAGCTGTCACGGGCTGCTTCCTGAGGGTGGAGGCCTGGTCGAGGATCGGGCCGCGGGGACACTAAAAAGCCCCGAAATCATCTCAAGATAACCTGGTGTTGACCTCTAGATCCAGCCCGAGCCTTATCAAGTATTTACCCAACTACTTACGAAACCTGTATATCTTTGATGTACTTACACCAAAGTACACCAAAGATGTACAAGTTGTACATATGTTTTACAAGTTTTACATCAAAATATTTTGATTTCACGATGTAAATCATGAAATCAAAGATTTCATGATTTACAAACATGACGGTTTTGTTTACATGTAATAACGTGTTATGAACTCCGAATCACTACGAGGTTGAGCAATAATAACCTTGGGTTGTGACGTCTCGACGATCATAAACTGAGCAAGGAAAGATGAAGAGGTTTCGTAAGTGGTTGGCCGGATATTTGATGATTTGTGGCTGAGGACAGTGGCTGCATGGCCCTCTCTGTGTCAGGACGATGTGTGGTCGTGTACCTTCCCTCTGCCAGTGGTCGTGTAGGGAGCTGCTGGTAGTGTGTGCTGGTAGAGTGTGCTGGTAGATGTGCTGGTAGATGTGCTGGTAGATGTGCTGGTAGAGTGTGCTGGTAGATGTGCTGGTAGAGTGTGTGTGCTGGTAGAGTGTACTGGTAGAGTGTGTGTGCTGGTAGAGTGTACTGGTAGAGTGAGGGGCAGGGAAGTAGAATGAAAAGTGGCCTGATCACTATAGGCTGTAGAATTAGTAGTACACATGCCAGGGTGACAGTGGCGAGGCTCGTCACCACGACAGTTGACAAGGGTGATAACAATCACACTAGTGAACACATTAACAAATTATCAATTAACTAAACAATTAAAACAATAAACAGAACAATCAGAGGTTCTGGATCTAGTTGACGGAAGATGATCGCGTCTCCCTCCCTTCTGCCGTCCTCTCCTGGTCCCGCAAGCCGCTAGCCACATACCTTTGACGCTACCCCGTCCAGGGTTAAAGTCACCTGTGTTACATAGACCAACGTAACACGTTCAGTAACACAGGACCATAAGAATACAGACAACTACAGAAGGTATACTGACCTATGTGAGGCAGCTCTTATAGTTATATCTACCCAGACTCATTCATATGTCTAACTCAGGCTTGAAACATGCAGGGATCCCAAGTCTATTGTATATTCAAGTCCCAACAGAAGGCTAAACACAATTAGAACATGGTCGAAAATAATGGTTCAAAAA